ATTTCACCCACATTTATGGCAGGCATCCTTAGAGGTTGAGAGGTGTGTTGGAAACTAGGTAAGTGGGGGTTATATATATCCAAATGGAATGATGTCCTGAGTGGGAGCAAGAAAAAACTCTTGTCTGTTCCAGGCCAGTATGAATGTTGCAATTGGTTGCCTTGATTAGCATTTAATGGCCTTGCTTCCTCAAAGCCTAGCTGATTGCTGCCTGGGGGAGGAGGGTGGACCATGGATGATGGGACTTCAAGTTCCTTCACTCACTTCCTGAAAACAATGCAGCCGATATCCAATGACCAATAAAGACCAAACTTGGCATACAGAACCGCCATTACCCACTTTCTCTAATAACCCGGGCAGTGCCGGGTCCCCAAGCTAGTATAATAATAAACATAAGATATCAATTTAAACAATTAACATCAATTCAAACATACAATAACAAACATGACATAGTAATTCAAATATAAACACAATAAAAAGCTTAGAAGTAATTCAAATACAAATACAATGAAAAGCTTAAAAGTAAACATACAATAATTCAAATATAAATGCAAAAGAAAGCTTAAAAGTAAACATTCAATCCCACCCAAAGTGGGCTGATGGAACAAATAAATAAATAGTTAAGAACGGGGTGTGACAACAGGAAGTGAGAGGGATCTCCCCCTTGGAAGGGAGGGAGGGAGGGAAATGCACTCCGGGAAGAGTTCTTGATTATCAGGAGGGCGAGGGGTTTCTGCTGAAGCCTTGTCCGCACCCCCAGTCCTTGTTTCCATCACAAGGCAAATGTCTCAGGGACAGGAAGTGAGGTGGGACCTCCTGGGCAGGGAGGTGGCACGGGAGCATTACAAACCTTGCAGGGGTTGCAGCCCTTCTCTAGGCCACCCAAAGCTATAATATCTGGCCACGGTGGTCCACGCTCTTGTTACATCCCGGATAGATTACTGCAACGCACTCTACGTGGGGTTGCCTTTGAAGACTGTTTGGAAACTTCAATTAGTCCAGCGGGAGGCAGCCAGATTGCTCACCGGAGCGTCATACAGGGAGCACACCACCCCCCTGTTATATCAGCTCCACTGGCTGCCGATCCAGTTCTGAGCACAATTCAAAGTGCTGGTTTTGACCTACAAAACCCTATACGGTTCCGGCCCAGCATATCTGTCCGAACGCATCTCCCTCTACGTCCCACCTCGGAGTTTAAGATCTTCTGGGGAGGCCCTGCTCTTGGCCCCGCCTCTATCACAAGTGAGATTGGCGGGGACGAGGAGCAGGGCCTTCTCAGTGGTGGCCCCTCACCTATGGAATTCACTCCCCGGGGAAATTAGATCAGCAACATCCCTCCTTTCCTTCAGAAAGAAATTAAAAACATGGATGTGGGACCAGGTGTTTGGGCAATCTGGCAGATGAATAAGGGACCGTGACGATGGATAGGAACTGGACAATGGTGGAACGAAATATGAACTCTGAGTGGCGAATGCTGCGTCTGAGATTGGCTATTGATTGTGAGATATATTGTTGTTTTAATTGTTTTTAATTGTTGACCATTTAATTGCTGGTTTTATATGTTATTGTATTTGTGTAGGCACCAAGATGTGCCTTTTTGTAAGCCGCCCTGAGTCCCCCCTCGGGGGTTGAGAAGGGCGGGGTAGAAGCATACGAAATAAATTATCTATCTATCTATCTATCTATCTATCTATCTATCTATCTATCTATCTATCTTTGGCTGGAGCTACACTTTAAAACTGTCCCCATTCCGACTTCCATACAAATGCAACGTAAGAGCAAACCTGGAGAACCTCTCTTGCTCTATCTAACTTGGGGGCATCCTGAAGTGGCTTGGCAGTCTTGCTGCTTCCTTCTAAGGCAAGACCTTGACTCTCTCTCAAAGCAGGCTTTGCGGAAGGAACTAGAAACCACTCCTTATCAAACTGTGATCCGTTGGTTGGTTTGCTTGTTTGGTTGCACGCTGCAGTGGAGGTGGCTCTGAATGAGACATGCCGGACTATCACAGGTGTCTGTGCCCTACACCACTGGAGAAATCACGCTGTTGAGCCGGTATTGCAGCACCTGACATCCGCTGGGAAGTAGCAACCCCCTGTTGTTTAACATCTATATGCGGCCACTTGCCCAGCTGGTGCGAGGCTTTGGGCTGGAGTGCTCTCAGTATGCTGATGACACGCAACTCATTCTGAGGATGGAAGGCCGACCAGACTCCATACCCAAGAATTTCCATCACTGCCTTGAGGTTGCGTGCCAGCAGGCTGAGAGTGAATCCAGCGAAGACGGAGATCCTTTGGTTAGGTCACCCGGACAGAGGAGTGATCCAGTTGCCTGCCCTGGATGGCGTGACATTACGCCCGTCATCCTTGGTCAAGAGTCTAGGAGTCCTTTTAGAACCTCTGCTGACGATGGAGGGCCAGGTCTCCGCTGCGAGCAGAGTTGCATTTTTCCACCTGCGTCAGGGTGGAAAAATCTGTCCAGGGACGACCTGGCCACGGTGGTCCAGGCTACGGTCATCTCAAGGCTGGACTACTGTAACGCCTCTACATAGGCCTGCCTTTGTCGGTGATCCGGAAACTTAAACTAGTGCAAAATGCTGCCACCCGGCTTCTCGCAGTGGTCCCAGCGAGGTGTCACATCGCTCCAATCTTGCAACAACTGCACTGGTTGCCAATTGACCACCAGATTACCTTCAAAGTGCTGATTCTTACTTTTAAGGCCTTCTATGGCCTTATGGGGCCGGAGTACCTGAGGGACCGCCTCACCCCCCACCAACCCCCAAGATCACTCCGTTCAGACGATCAGAATCTCCTTGAAGTTCCCAATTTTAGGACCTCTCACCTGATGTCTACTAGGCATAGGACATTCACGGTGGTGGCCCCTTACCTGTGGAATGCCTTGCCAGCGGAAACACGAGCTCTCCGAGACTTACGATCTTTTCGTAGAGCTTGTAAAACTTGTTTATTTAGGCTGACATTTGAATCTTGCTTATTGAATTTTTATTTGATTTGATTTTAAATGTAATGTATTGTATATGTAGATTGTAAACCACTCCGAGCCTTCGGGGAGTGGCGGTATATAAAATTGACTAATAAATAAATAAAGTAAATAAATAATGAAAGGCCCAAGGCAGTGACATCTCCAGCCCATCCTCTTTTCAGATATCAGACAGCACACCAACACAATAAATCAAGAAACAGCTTCCTACAATCTACAGAGATACTCACAGGAACACCTCAGCAAGCGAGAGTCCAAAAGTGGCAGGCTCAAACCCAGAACCTCAATCCATGGCTGATACCAAATGAGAGACTCCCCCCTGGACACACAGAAGACGGGACGACTTAGAATAGACTGCAGTCAGGGACCACAAGGTGCAGAGCCAACCTTAAGAAATAGGGCCACAAAGTGGAGTCCACAACGTGTGAGTAGCGGAGGAGGGCCAACCACAGACAGCCTACTACAATGCAGCCTGAGCCCTGCCACATGCACAACGGAGGACCTGGAGCCCCCAGTGGCATAGTGGGTGAAACCCTGTGCCAGCAGGACTGAAGACCAACAGGTCGCAGGTTCGAATCCTGGGAGAGGTGGAGGAGCTCCCTCTATCAGCTCCAGCTCCTCATGCGGGGACATGAGAGAAGCCTCCCACAAGGATGATAAAAACATCAAAATCATCTGGGTGTCCCCTGGGCAACGTCCTTACAGACGGCCAATTCTCTCACACCAGAAGCGACTTGCAGTTTCTCAAGTCGCTCCTGACACGACAAAACAAACAAACAAAACAGAGGACCTTCTCACAGCCACACCAGAGGCACTCCAAGTGGCCAGCTTCTGATCAAAGGACATTTAATACAATACCAAGTTTGCAAAATTTGTGGGTTTTTAAAATATATATACATTACAACGGTCACTTCACTTAGGCGATCCCTCGTTGGACGAGTAAGATGGTCTTCCATTATGGGTTTCCTTGTGGGTCCGGATGTAGTTGTGGAGCCCCATTCTTGCTCTGCATCTTCTTCCGCAGTGAGGAGGGCATTGGTTTCCAGGTGGAAGGCGGTCCCGGTCGGGGTTGGCTTGACGCGCCTTCCTCCTGGCACGTTTACAACGGTACCCTTGGGTTCGCACATCCAACTGTGATGAAGAAAGGTGTCTGTTATTACTTTCCAAATGTGTGTTTCCAAAAGGAAGAACAAAGCTCGATGTCCCTGCTCCCTTGGCCCCTGCCCTTTCCTGTCATCACCACCACCACCACCACCATCATCACCCAATGAGCTCTTCATACAAGCCATGTCCAAAGCTGGGGGTGGCACCTCAATCCAGACCTGGTCATCCTGACTCCTTCCAGACTCCCATCAGCTCTGGTCATGAGGATGTCCAGTGAGGAGGAACCCGGGAGTTGGAGCCCAGCATCTGGAGGAGGGCCACGTTAGACGACACGGAGGGCCAGGCTGGGCCGAGGGCCTTGAGCTTGACTCATGTGTGTTCGGGGTATTTCAGGCATGAGACCGTGTCATCTCCTCAGTCATAACAATAGTATGCAAACCCCACTTTTTCTCTCCCAAAAAGGAGACTCGAAGTAGCTGACAGGAAAGCAGTCCAAGCAGCCCCCCAGTTACAAACCAGAGAGGTTCGGTCAGTTTGCTCTGAAGCTGAATTGGTTTGTAAGTCGGAACAGGGCCATCCTTTAAGTGGAACTCCAGCCACAGAATCTCCCTGTTAGCTTTGGGCGGCATAGGGACGGGCCAAGGCCCCTTTTCCGACCTGTTCCTCTGTTCAGAAGGTCCCGCCCCACTTTCTGTCCCTGAGAGAATTGGATCTTGGAAAGTGTGGCTTGTTTTCGAGACCAGGATTGTGTGGTGGATTCGCCTGCTGTTGTTGAAACACCAGAACTGACCCATGCCAGGTTGGAGGCCAGAGAGAGAGAGAGGGAGAGAGAGAGAGGTCAACTCCTGATAAGACAGGCCTGACACTGAGAACGGGTTCAAACTGACCAGAAAGCTGGCAAACAAACTTTATTGAAGGGTTGAAAGTTTTGATGGCCGGAATCATTGGTTTGCTGTGGGTTGTCCAGGCCGTGTGGGCATGTTCCAGTAGCATTCTCTCCTGATGTTGCACCTGCATCTGGCTGGGCATCTTCAGAAGTCTGTTGGAGGTGAGGCAAGTGGAGTGTACATATATATACCTGTGGATTAAATGCGGTAAGCCTGTGCTGTTTTGAAAGTCCTTTTGGCTGTGAGAAATGATGGGATAGTAGGTAAAGGGAAAGCTTTTCCCTGGACACTCAGTCCAGTCGTGTCCAACTCTGGGACTCTGGTGCTCACCTCCATTTCTAAGCCAAAGAGCCAGCATTGTCCATAGACACCTCCAAGCTGATATGGCCAGCATGACTACATGGATTGCCATCATCTTCCCGCAGAAGCAGTACCTATTGATATATTCACATTTGCATGTTTACAAACTGCTAGGTTGGCAGAAGCTTGGGCTGATAGCGGAAACTCATGCCGCTCCCCGGATTCAAACCTGTCACCTTTTTACCAGCAAGTTCAGCAGCTCAGGAGTTTAACCTGCTGCACCACTTGGGCTGCCATAACGGGATAGTACCTGGGGTAAAAGGAGTTTACTCACAGTGTGTGCAAATTAGCACCTAGGCCCAGCTTCTTAAGAAAGTTGTGCGCCAGCTGCGCCCGTATCTTGGGAAGTCGGATCTGGCCACGGTGGTCCACACTCTTGTTACATCCCGGATAGATTACTGCAACGCACTCTACGTGGGGTTGCCTTTGAAGACTGTTTGGAAACTTCAATTAGTCCAGCGGGCGGCAGCCAGATTACTCACTGGAGCGTCATACAGGGAGCATACACCCCTCTGTTATGTCAGCTCCACTGGCTGCCGATCCAGTTCCGAGCACAATTCAAAGTGCTGGTTTTGACCTACAAAACCCTATACGATTCCGGCCCAGCGTATCTGTCCGAACGCATCTCCCTTTATGTCCCATCTCGGAGTCTGAGATCTTCTGGGGAGGCCCTGCTCTCGACCCCGCCTCTGTCACAAGTGAGATTGGCGGGGACGAGGAGCAGGGCCTTCTCAGTGGTGGCCCCTCACCTATGGAATTCACTCCCCGGGGAGATCAGATCAGCAACATCCCTCCTTTCCTTCAGAAAGAAATTAAAAACGTGGATGTGGGACCAGGCGTTTGGGCAATCTGGCAGATGAATAAGGGACCGTGACGATGGATAGGAACTGGACAATGGTGGAACGAAATATGAACCCTGAGTTGGTGAACGCTGTGTCTGAGATTGGCTATTGATTGTGTGATATATTGTTGTTTTTAAGTGTTTTAATTGTTGACCATTTAATTGCTGGTTTTATATGTTCTTGTATTTGTGCGGGCACCGAGATGTGCCTTTTTGTAAGCCGCCCTGAGTCCCCCCTCGGGGGTTGGGAAGGGCGGGGTAGAAGTACGCGGAATAAATAAATAATAAATAAAGTGACCTGGAGAGTGGAGCGGCCTCATGGCAGAGCCTCTTCCATCCTTTTGGGGAGAGCAGACCTGCATGACATGCGGCACATGAGCGGCTTGCAGGCCCCAACGGATTCCAGGCGGCTTGTGTGCGATGGCTGCCAGGTGGAAGGTGCCCAGGCAACCACAGCAACGCCAGTACCTGAGCAGGTCACAGCCTCCTTCAGAGTGCTTTCGTTTTGTGTCCCTGCCAGGCAGGAGTGGGTGGGTTAGGTGGCCCTTTGGGTCTTTCTCCCAACTCTAGGATTCTATTCCAGGCCAGCCCCAGTATGTAAACAAGAGCGGTTCTCTTAGTGTGTTCTTAGGCTGAATGTGTATGTAAGGCAGTAACTCCAGGCAAGTATCTATTTCTGTGGAGGCTTCTAAACAGAGGCTGGATGGCATAGGGCCGTGGTTCTCAACCTTCCTAATGCAGTTCCTCATGTTGTGGTGACCCCCAACCATAACCCTAACATTATGAATCGCCATGTAAATAATGATCTGCAGGATGTATTTTCATTCACTGGAGCAAATTTGGCACAAATACATAGTATGCCCAAATTTGAATACTGGTGGGGTTGGCGGGGGGATTGATTTCGCCATTTGGGAGTTGTAGTTGCTGGGATTTATAGTTAACCTAAATCAAAGCATTCTGAACTCCACCAACAATGGAATTGAACCAAACTTGGCACACAGAACTCCCATGACCAACAGAAAATACTGGAAGGGTTTGGTGGGCATTGACCTTGAGTTTGGGAGTTGAAGTTCGCCTGTGGATATCCAGAGAGCACTCTAGACTCCAACAATGATGGATCTGGACCACACTTGGCACGAATACTCAATGTGTTCAAATGTCAACACTCGTGGGGTTTTGGGAAAATAGACCTTGAGATTTGGGAGTTGTACTTGCTGGGATTTATAGTTCACCTACAATCAAGGAGTGTTCTGAACCCCAACAACTTCCCACACAGAGACCCCCATGACCAACAGAAAATACTGGAAGGGTTTGGTGGGCATTGACCTTGAGTTTGGGAGTTGAAGTTCGCCTGTGGATATCCAGAGAGCACTCTAGACTCCAACAATGATGGATCTGGACCACACTTGGCACGAATACTCAATGTGTTCAAATGTCAACACTCGTGGGGTTTTGGGAAAATAGACCTTGAGATTTGGGAGTTGTACTTGCTGGGATTTATAGTTCACCTACAATCAAGGAGTGTTCTGAACCCCAACAACTTCCCACACAGAGACCCCCATGACCAACAGAAAATACTGTGTTTTCTGATGGTCTTTGGCGACCCCTCTGACACCCCTTCACGACCCCTCCGGGGGTCCCGACCCCCAGGTTGAGAACCACTGGCATAGAGCAACCAACGGAGGCTGTTAACTTGCCTTTCAGCACTGACCACTCCTTGCTGTCTCCAACAGGTTCTGCGACGCCTCCGGCCCGCGGTGCTGTGTGTCCAGTGTCCATCCCGACATGGCTGCCACCCAAGGCCCCCCCTCCACCGCCACCCCCAGCAGTGCGGCCCCTTCCTCCTCCTGGCTGTGGGAGGCGCTGGCCAGCGGCTTCCTCTCCTGCCCCATCTGCCTGGAGCGCTTCAGCCGGCCCAAGATCCTGCCCTGCCTGCACACTTACTGCCAGGGCTGCCTGGAGACGCTGCTGGACGGGCGGGCGGAGGGAGAGGCGGGGGCCGAGCCACAGGAGCTGCGCTGCCCCGAGTGCCGCACCCGGGTGCCCCTCCCGGCCGGAGGGGTGGCCGCCATCAAGACCAACTTCTTCATCAACGGGCTGCTGGCCCTGGCCTGCCCCGCAGGGAGGGCGCCCTCCTCCCCCGCCTGCGCCCTATGCGCTCTCATCGGGCAGGAGCCCCCCCAGGTGGCCGCCTCGCATTGCCTGGACTGTGCCGACGACATGTGCCCGTCCTGTGCCGGGGGGCACCGCTGCTCCCGGCTGACGCACAACCACCGCGTGGTGGACATGGAGGGCTACCTCTCGGGCCGCTACGACCGGGAAGTCCGGGAGCGGCAGGCCTCCCGCTGCAAGGAGCACCCCGGGGAGGAGCTGCGCTTCTTCTGCGACCCGTGCGCGGCCCCGCTTTGCCGGGAGTGCCGCCTGGGGCCCCACCTGCAGCATCCGTGCCGCACCCTGGCCGAAGCGGCCGAGGAGCGCCGCCCGGCAGTCGAAGGGCTCCTGGCCAAGGTTGAGGCAGCGGCACAACGTTTGGCCACAGACAGGGCCGGCCTGGAAGTCGCCACAGAGGAGCTGGAGGCCGGCCAGGCCAGGATCCGGACACGGGTGAAAGAGGCGTGTTCGCGGGCCGTGGAGTGGCTGCTGTCGCAGAAGAAGGAGGTGTTGTCTCTCCTCTCGGAGCATGTGGAGGAGCAGAGGAAGGCCTGGACTGTCCTGCGGTCAGAGCTGGAGCTGCAGGAGCAAGTGGCGTCCAGCACGGCGGCCTTTGCCCGGAGGGTCCTGGCCCAGGGCCAAGGGGTGGAGGTCCTCTCCCTGGAGCAACTGGTCTCTGAGCGGCTGAAGGAGCTCCAGGAGGGGCGCTCCTCCCGGGCGATGCTGAGGGTCCGGCTACCCCGGCTGGAGATCCACATGGCGGACCTGCAGGGTGGCCGCAGCCCCTTCCGCCTGGACTTCATGGAGGAAGAGAAGGAGGAAGAGGAAGGGCAGGAGGAGGAGGAGGAAGAGGAGCTCAGCAGGGCAGAGAAGAAGAGGAGGAAGAAGAAGACGAAGAAGCAACAACAGCAGACAGAGCCCCAGCCTGAGGGAGAGCCCCCCGCCGCCCCCTCCCCAGGGAAGCCCCCCGGTCAAGCGGCCCCAGCTGCAGCCCCCAGCTCCGGCCTTCGCGGCCCCGCGGCCCCCAGGGCCCTCTTCTCCTGCAGCTTCTGGGCCAAGACCCCCACGGACAAGCGGCGCCCGCAGGTGACCGGCCTGTGCCCCTTTGGCCCCGGGGAGGTGCTGGTGGCCGACGAGACGAACCGGCGGCTGAAGCGCTTCTCCTTGCAGGGGGACTTCAAGGGGACGGTGCCGGTCCCCGAGGGCGTGGCCCCCTTCAGCGTGGCCGCCCTGGGCAGCAAGGTGGCCTTCACGGCCGGCCCCCAGCTCTTCCTCCTGGACGGCTGCGGGGGGCTGGCCTGGCAGAGGGTGCTGCCCAAAGGTCAGGCCAGCCATGCCATCGCCGCTCTGGGGAGCGACCGCCTGGCGGTCAGCGTAACCGGCCACCTGGAGCTCTACAACCTGGAAGGGCAGCAGGTGGGCAAGGTCCGGCCAGGGGGCCCCGCTGGGCGCTGCCTGGTCTTCCTGGCCAGACACAAGGGGGGCTTCGTGGGGTCCGACTGGCAGCATAACAGCGTGGTGCTCTTTGCGGAGAGCGGGGCCCTGGTGACCGAGTTCCGGGAGGGGCAGCTGGGGGGCTGCCAGCCGGGGGCCGTCTGCGCCGACCCTCAGGGCACCGTCTATGTGGTCCTGAGGGAACTCAACCGGGTGCTGGCCCTTTCCCCGGCCGGGGAGGCACTCGGGGACTTCCTGACAGCTGAAAATGGCATTGACCGGCCCCGTGTGGCCACCGTGGTTGGAGATAGGCACTTGGCGCTGGCCCTCAGCAACGGGACCATCCACGTCTTCAAGATCAGGTATTAGAGACACAGAATCCTAGAGTTGGAAGAGACCCCAAGGGCCATCTAGTCCAACCCCAATCTGCCATGCAAGAAAAGCACAATCAAAGCACCCGTGACAGATGGCCATCCGGCCAACCTCTCCGTGGCTCCATTGAGTCCTAGTCTCCAGGGCAGCAAAAACCCAGCCAGCTTCCTCTCCCTTATGGCATCCTTTCACGTATTGATACCAGGCTCTCGTGTCTCCTCTCAGACTCAGCTCTTTAAGTTGCTCCTCAGGGGGATGATTCTTGGTCTCCAGGCCTTGGATCCTTGGAGTCTCCCTCTTCCTCTGGACTCCTTCCGGCTTAGAGTCCATCTCTCTTTTATGTTGCCGTGCCCTTTGATGTCACAAGTTAAAACGGGTATGTGGAAACACACAGATTTTTGTGACATTTGGGGTAAACTTATTGAGTTTCTATTCATTGAAGGACTGCACAAGTCTCTTGTGTCATCAAGCCTCCAGACCTCAATGAGTAGCTAGGCTAGAGGTAGGATTTGCTGGGGAATTCCCCCCCCCCCCCACCACCACCACCACATTCCTATCCATGTTTGCCAAAAGGGCTTGGAGACCGGCCACTCATCACACTAGAGAGAAAAACCCACTTAAAACCTGGTTTCTGCCTCTTGCAGAATTCTGGGTTTTGTAGTTTAGTGAGGCTGTGAAAGGCTCCTCCCTAAACCACAAACCCCAGAATTCTGCAAGAGTGGGACAAAGGACTCTTGTCTGCTGGAGCTAGGTGGGAATGCTTCAACTGACCACCTTGATTATCATTAAAGTGAAATTGAACGAAACTAGGTGGGAAGCATTTTATTGTCATGTTTATTGGTATTTTAGATTGGCTATTATACACAATGTTAACATGCTCAAGGATTTTATGTATAAGCTCTATTAAGACATCCATAATTGTTGTCTTTTTAAAATATTATGTACTTTCCTGATTTAGATATTGTTGCTTTAATGGTTAATTGTGTGTTCTGATTAAATGAAAATTTAAGTTTAAAATTATATGTGTATGTGTGTGTGTGTATGTGTCTATCTATCTATCTCTATCAATTGGGGTGCCCAGAATTGGACACAGGATTCCAGGAAGGCTCTGGTCAAAGCTCTGGCCTTTGGATGCCTCCCAAAATCCCATTGGCCTTTGTAGCTGCTGCATCACACTCTTGGCTCACGTTCAGCTTGTTGTCCACAAAAAAGACTCCATCCCAGCCCTGTCCCAGTTTGGCCCACAGGGATACTCCATGCAGCACCAGCCCAGGGAGTGGGTCCCTCATGGTTCTGCTGGACCTCTCCGTGGCCTTCGATACTGTAGACCACGGTATCCTTCTGAGATGCCTGGCAGGAACGGGTCTCGGGGGTCCTGTTCTGCAGTGGCTCCGGTCCTTCCTCAAGGATCATCCCCAGAAGGTGTTCCTGGGGGACTCCTGCTCAGCCCCACAACCACTGTCTGGTGGTGTTTCCTGCAGGGTTCAGTCTTGTCCCCCATGTTATTTAACTTCTACATGAAGCCGCTGGGGGAGATCATCCGGAGTTTTGGAGTCCAATTCCATCTGTACGCGGATGATGTCCAACTCCGTCACTCCTTTCCACCTGCTACTAAGGAGGCTGTCCAGGTCCTGAACCGGTGCTTGGCCGCTGTGATGGTTTGGATGAGAGTGAACAAATTGAAACTGAATCCAGACAAGACAGAGGTCCTCCTGGTCATTTGCAAGGCCGAACAGGGCGTAGGCTTACAGCCTGTGTTGGAGGGGGTTACACTCCCCCTGAAGACGCAGGCTCACAGCTTGGGAGGGATCCTGGACTCATCACAGGTGGCAGTGGCCAGGGGAGCATTGGCACAATGAAAGCTTGAGCGCCAGCTGCGCCCGTACCTTGGGAAATCTGATTTGGCCACAGTGGTCCATGCTTTGGTTACATCCCGTATAGTCTACTGCAATGTGCTCTATGTGGGGTTGCCTTTGTTGACTCTTCAGAAGCTTCAAGTAGGGCAGCCAGGAGCATACAACTCCCTTGTTACGCCAGCTCCACTGGCTGCCAGTTTGCTATTGAGCACAATTCAAAGGGCTAGCTTTAGCCTATAAAGGTTCCAGCCCAGCTTACCTGTCCGAGCGTATCTCCTCCTATGAAGCACTTGGGAGCTTAAGACCATGGCATCGGGGGAGTCAAACAACAGCAACTTCAAATCGGCGCATGAGTGCTAGGGTGAAGGAGGATCTCATCCCCGACGTCCCTCCATTGCTGGCACAGAAGCAGAATAGCCATCCCAGAAAGCACCCAACAGGAAGGCGGACAGATTGGGGGCTGTGGGTCAGTTCCCCCACCAAGAGCAGGGAAGGAGTTCCTCTGGGAAGTGGGGACCCATTGTCCCCTCAACGCGGCTTCCCGCCTTCCTGTGATCAAGACTTCTGTCATGCGGTCTCCTGATTGTGGCTGGTGAGCATCTCCCTATCTTGCTGAGCAGCCGCCGTGGCATTTCCTCCACCATCTTCCTGCCTGGAACATGGCTGGAAACCCCCTGTGGTCCTCCTTGCTTGGCCAGACATCCTCCGAGGGTCGGAAGGGACTCCGGAGCCAGGCCTGATCCAAACGCAAAGGAGAATCCGCTTGAAAGAGGACAAAGGAAGAGGGGCTCCTCTTTTGGGGGACAGGAAAAAAGAGGGGGGAACAGGCAGTAAGCAGTCCTAAAGAAACCTCAAAGACCCACGGCATGCAGTTGAGGCCACGAAAACCCTTTTTGAAAGCCCATGTCAAGAGTATGAAGATCGTATTGAAATGCACCTCTGGCTTAAAATCTAACTTTGGGGCTGTGCCCCCGAATGCCTTTTAGGGGGGACTGATATTAGACACCTGGCCATCAGTCGTTGGAAAGGCCATCTGAGCAAGGCTCTCCTCTGTGTCAGCTATCAATGCAAATCAGATTTTTCAGGTTATGTTTACACCAAAGACAAACTTAGGAGTAACTCGGATACCGCCCTGGATTTGCGTATTCGCCAGTCAGTCATAAGACCCAGTTGCGGAACGATTTTAAGCACAAACATGACACAATTTTGCTCATTGTTGTAGCTGCAAATCTATTTTCCTGTTGCAAAATAAACATTTATTTGCCCATTGCAACATCAGTGTTCAGGGTTGGGTGGGGTTGAGGCCTGTGAGTTTGAAAGGCCATTTTAGTGTATTTATTTTAGTTATTTTTTACCATACTGTTACTATTTAATTGGTTTATTTTATATATATATATATATATATATATATATATATATATATATATAGAGAGAGAGAGAGAGAGAGAGAGAGAGAGAGAGAGAGAGGGAGAGAGAAATAATAATAATAATAATAATAATAATAATAATAATAATAATACTTTATTTATACCCTGCCACCATCTCCCCAAGGGGACTTGGGGCGGCTTACATTGCTAAGCTTGTCTCATGTGGGTCACTAGCCGCCTGGAATCCCCACAGGAAGAAAGGTGGAGTACTCATAAAGATAATAATATGAATACTAAAAATAATGCAGTCATCGCTAAGAGTCAACATGGATTTATCAAAAACAAGTCATGCCAGACTCATCTGATCTCTTTTGTCGATAGAGTTACAAGCTGGGTAGATGCGGGGAATGATGCCGTGGATGGCGCGTGTCTGGATTTCAGGAAGGCCTTCTTCGACAAGGTCCCCCATGACCTCCTGGCAAGGAAACTAGTCCAATGTGGGCGAGGCAAAACTACGGTGAGGTGGATCTGGAATTGGTTAAATGGACGAACCCAGAGGGTGCTCACCAATGCTTCCTCTTCATCCTGGAAAGAAGTGACGAGTGGAGTGCCGCAGGGTTCCGTCCTGGGCCCGGTCCTGTTCAACATCTTTATTAATGACTTAGATGAAGGGCTAGAAGGCAGGATCATCAAGTTTGCAGACGACACCAAATTGGGAGGGAGAGCCAATAGTCCAGAGGACAGGAGCAGGATTCAAAGGGATCTTGACAGATTAGAGAGATGATGGGCCAAAACTAACAAAATGAAGTTCAACAGGGACAAATGCAAGATACTCCACTTTGGCAGGAAAAACGAAATACAAAGATACAGAATGGGGGACGCCTGGCTCGAGAGCAGTACGTGTGAAAAAGATCTTGGAGTCCTCGTGGACAACAAGTTAAACATGAGCCAACAATGTGATGTGGCGGCAAAAAAAGCCAATGGGATTTTGGCCTGCATCAATAGGAGCATAGTGTCTAGATCTAGGGAAGTAATGCTACCCCTCTATTCTGCTTTGGTTAGACCACATCTGGAATATTGTGTCCAATTCTGGGCACCACAATTCAAGAGAGATATTGACAAGCTGGAATGTGTCCAGAGGAGGGGACTAAAATGATCCAGGGTCTGGAGAACAAGCCCTATGAGGAGCGGCTTAAGGAGCTGGGCATGTTTAGCCTGAAGAAGAGAAGGCTGAGAGGAGATATGATAGCCATGTATAAATATGTGAGAGGAAGCCACAGGGAGGAGGGAGCAAGCTTGTTTTCTGCTTCCTTGGAGACTAGGACGCAGCACAATGGCTTCAAACTACAAGAGAGGAGATTCCATCTGCTGATTGAAGACTGATCCTGCTTAAAGGGAGGTAAAGGGGGGGGGTCCCAGAAGGGCCTGATCTGGTCTCAGGAGGGGTCACCTTCAGCTGGAGACCTTGGCCTCTGACCTCTGCCAGCCAGAAAATCCTCCTGGGTGGGTTCCCCGGCCCCTCCCCTCTTTCCATGACATACAGAAAGAGACACGCGCGCAAGGCACACACACACACCCAAGACCGCAAGTTGCACAACCAGTTACATAACCTTGAACCCTTCCAGGCCAGGAAGGGGTCAGCGAGAGGAGCACGAAGCTTCAGGCCGGGACATGGAATAGAAGTGGTTTTGGTCCCTTGGTGGATGATCTATGGGGAGAAGATCTAGAGAAGGGAAAGAGATGAGAGGCAAAGGTCAAGTCCTTTGGCCAGATCATGAGAAGAGAAGGATGCTGGGGAAATGGAAGGAGAAAGGAAGCAGGGCCAACCAAGGGCAAGGTGGGTGGGGCCTTGAAGGAAGGAGCCCCTGGGGGTGGCCACGGCTGGGAGGGAGCTCTGGCCTGGGATGGTCCAGGAGGCCACCAAGGGGCAGAAGCAACCCAACGAATAAACAACAATTATTTTCTCCGTTTCCCAACACCTGTAACTGAAGCCAATGTGGAGGGCTGTCTGTCCATAGAATGGCCTTCTTGGAGGGGAGGGCCCCTTGACGGGATTCCCAAAATGTCCAGGCAGTCCCCAAGTTATCTATTATTCCTCTATCTATCTTTCCTTCTATCTTTCCCTCTGTCTGTCTGTCTGTCTATCTGTCTATCTCTCTCTCTATCTATCTTTCCCTCTATCTATCTGCCTGCCTGCCTGCCTGCCTGCCTGCCTATCTATCTATCTATCTATCTATCTATCTATCTATCTATCTATCTATCTATCTATCTATCTATCTATCTATCTATCTATCTATCTACTCTATCTATCTATCTATTTCCCTCTATCCCTCTATCCCTCTATCTGCCTGCCTGCTTTCCTGCCTGCCTGCCTGCCTGCCTGCCTGCCTGCCTGCCTGCCTATCTATCTATCTATCTATCTATCTATCTATCTATCTATCTATCTATCTATCTATCTATCTATCTATCTATCTATCTACCTCTATTTATCTTTCCCTCTATCTATCTTTCCCTCTATCCCTCTATCCCTCTATCTGCCTGCCTGCTTTCCTGCCTGCCTGCCTGCCTGCCTGCCTGCCTGCCTGCCTGCCTGCCTATCTATCTATCTATCTATCTATCTATCTATCTATCTATCTATCTATCTATCTATCTATCTATCTATCCCTCTATTTATCTTTCCCTCTATCTATCTTTCCCTCTATCCCTCTATCTGCCTGCCTGCTTTCCTGCCTGCCTGCCTGCCTGCCTGCCTGCCTGCCTGCCTGCCTATCTATC